TCAAGAAGAAATTCAGAAGAATTTGTAAATTTGAAATTAATGGGTTTTTCGGGCAATGAAAAAAAAATATATTGGCAATAAAAACTGAGTAAAAAGTATTGATATAAATGCCTACCTGCGGAAAGTTGGCTTTAAAAAACCGGGCATTCCGTGTGAACATCGCATTCAACAACCAAGGTTCAAACGGTTTCAACTAGCAACTAATCATCCACTTGACTAAAGCAACAATTTTGGGGTCAAAAGTCTGCCTTGCTTAACTATAATTATACATTAATTAAATTGGCTGAACATATAAAATTTGGCTGACGCTGCTGCTGGATGCAATGTTCATGGGCGATTAAAATTCGCAAAAAATGTTAAGCGTGCAGCAAATTGAACTTAGAATTGAGACGATTTCAAGTGGCCAACAAGCGCCAATTCTTTCAAATCGTCATCTGATTCATTCCATCGAACAATCAATGACGCTCGCATTATTTCCGGTCGGTGAACATCGTTAACTATTTGTGCAAAGCGACTCTGAAATAGGTGCAAAGTGTCGATAAAGCATTACGTTTTTGGCTCACACATCATTATCTACTGCCAGTTTTGCTTAATAACAATATTTAAACAGTCCAAGCCGATTCACATTTGATTATTGAACTTGCGAAATGCTTCTTCATCGATTAGGAGATGGATTAGTTGGTTATTTCACATGCTAGTCTTTTGACCTAAAGGAGCCAATTATGCAAATTTGCGTTGTTTGGGGCATTTTGAGAAATTTTATTCTTTTCGAAAACATCGACCTCCACCTTACGAAATTTTCGGCGAAATTTGAATTTCAGACACTTAGGTGCAAAGATTATGCCAAAACTTCATTTTTTTCGTCCCGCTTTTGCTCATTCCAGGCAAGAAAAATGAGAAAGAACACGCTTATTTACATTATTCCAGAGCGAAATAAATGGTCCTTTTGGAACGTGAACAATCGATAAAGAAATGTTGGCAGTTTTCTCAAAAAGTCCTGATTTCAAGAACTTTTAAATTTGTGTTATTTTTGTTGAGTTGCAAAATCCACTCAAAACATGACGCTGCCTTTTTCGAAGTTTCTCCTTGGAAGCCACAGAATTCGTTTTGGCATCGTTGGATAGAGAATTGAAAATTCGATCCATCCATAACAACATGAGTGGGAAAATTCGAGTAGTTTCGACCTAAAAAGCGAAATTTGAATTTCAGACAGTTAGGTGCAAAGATTATGCCAAAATTTCATGTTTTTCGTACCGCTTTTGCTCATTCCTGGCAAGAAAAATGAGCAAGAACACGCTTATCTACGTCATTCCAGAGCGAAATAAATGGCCCTTTTGGAACGTGAACAATCGATAAAGAAATGTTGGCAGTTTTCTCAAAAAGTCTTGATTTCAAGAAGTTTTAAATTTGCGTTTTTTCTTGTTGAGTTGCAAAACCCACTAAAACATGACGCCGCCTTTTCCGAAGTTTCTAAGGCCCCTTCGGAGCCACAAAATTCGTTTTGGCATCGTTGGATAGAGAATTGAAAACTCGATTCAGTCATAACAACCTGAGTGAAGAAATTCTAGTAGTTTCGACCCAAAAAAACGAAATTTCAATTTCAGACAGTTAGGTGCAAAGATTATGCCAAAATTTCATGTTTTTCGTCCCGCTTTTGTTCATTCCTCGCAAGCAAAATGAGCAAGAACATGCTTATTTACATCATTCCAGAGCGAAATAAATGGCCCTTTTGGAAAGTGAACCATCGATCAAGAAATGTTGCCAGTTTTCTCAAAAAGTCTTCTGGTTGCTTTACGAAATACATTCAAGAGCGACTTTTTCTCCGGTCAGTTAAAACAAACGCAATTTTGTGAAAAATATGAATTAATCCATCTAACCAAAACGAAAACAACTGAAAAAAATCTTGGCCAAACCAAAAGCATCCAAACACCTACAAAACGGGTTTACGAAAAAAACATCCCAATCAAACAAAATGTAGATTAGGCAAATGCGCGACATTTTTCGAACTGCGTCAGTCACCGTGACAACGGTTTGAGAAAAACCGCGCACACGGCACATCATGGCATTTTTCGTTGCTTTATGTAAAAGTATTAAAAATCGCCAAAAAACACCACTAAGAAAACAAGATTTTCTGTAAGGTGAGCATACGATTGTTAACCGCGCACACAACAGCACGGTGTTCCTGTAAATAACCGAAATGTTTGCATACTTGAACTAGGAGTGCTTTTGCAGCACTTAAACTCACCTAGACTTTCGAAGCAATTTGTTCCGAACCATATGGAGCCGGCCAGTTTCGACCTCATCGGGCCCCCCTTCGACACCCTGCATAAAACAGAGCATATTGGCGTCTGTCATGCATGCGACACTGTGCTGTTTGCGCATGTGCGGCCGTCGTGCCACCCCCGGTGCCACGTCGGCGCCCGAACCATTTTCGGTTGGTTCGATCTCGAAACGGGGCACCAGAAAGGGGAGATCGGTCGGGCGGGCCCCTATGGTGCCGTTTACCTCCCACTGCTTGATTCGACTGTTTCCCCTTCACTGGTTTATTGCTGTGAGCAGGTGCGGATTTTGCCATATGGCAGGGGGGCGCCAACCCTCCTACAAGCCAAATTCTAACCCCGTAATCTATGAACCTTCAGCGGTGCCAATTTTTACGGAATTCTCAAGCCCATTGGCCCTCGGCTGGACTCAGTCACTTGTGATGAGATGAAAGGGAAATTCCGGTTGTTTCGAGTAGGAAAACGAGGAAAATCCAAATAATGAACGTCGTCGCAACGCCGGCACCCGTTAAAGAAACCCAATAGCGACGCGATGGCTGGGCAACTGCCAACTTGACTCCCAACTTATTATCATGTTTGTCCACGCGACGTTGCTATGTTGCCTAGTTAGAAGCCACCGCTACCTTAGCAACGCGTAAGGGTTCACTTCAATGGGCTGACTAGAAGATCCTTATCTTGAGCAACTGAATTCTCTAGCTGGGGGGTTTTGCCTAACATATAGCTGAAACTGGTGAGTTCTTCGGCTTTTTAAAACGCCGTGGAAATAATCGCTTTCAGACGTTTCCCAAGCACGCGTGGCCCACATCTTCAGACCTGTTCTGGTTGTCAAGCCTAACTGCCGATAAGACATTTTTTCCAAATACAGTCAATACTTTTCCGGGAAGCCGGCAACATTGTCTGGGTTATTCCCTCTCTCCGGCTCTTCCAATCTCCAAGAGTTGCCGTCGGCCATGGCAACGGGTTTTCAACAGCTGATTACTTCGATGTTTTCTTTAATAAGTATCAATTACATTCACCTAGAAATGGGTTCTAAATCATGGACAGGGAGAATCCGCATTTTTTATGCAATTTTAACACCGGTACCGATTTTGGCGCTTTCAACTAAGCATTCGTGGGCGTTTTCGTGCACTTTTTAAGATTTTTAGGACAAAATTGTCTTGCAATTCTCCATACTGTCGTTGATGTCATTGAAGAATCAACTGAACTTTCTTCGGTTGAAACCTTCGGGTGGAAAAGTGTTTGCAACTCATAAAATGTATGTTTTTGCGCAAAATATTTTGATCGACGTATTTCAAAAGTGACAGACGTCATGAGAACCCAAAATGGCGTTTGCTGTCATCTAATGGACAAGTCGCGAATGTCAGTGAGTGAAGTGAACAAAAACTGCATTTTTGCAAGAAAAACCACTGGGAAAAATCACCAAATTGATTAACTAGACGGTGAGTACCGATATTGTTAACTTGTACCGCAAAAACATCGCAAAGTCGTGCCTATGAAGTATTTGAAGTATTTAGTCCATTTGGGTTTTTTCAAATCGCAAAAATCGCAAAAATTAAGTTCTTTCGGTTGACCTCACCTGATTTGATCTACAATGCTGTGCGATCTGGGCGTCTGGAAGTTGTAACCAAACAGTCCTTTTTGAACCGGTAAGCTTAACCTGCGTTTAAGCGCCCGCATTAAACTGAGCCGATGATGATGAGCGTCCTCCTCCTCCTCATCATCATCATCGCTTGAACTATTTTCCATCGTTTTCGCATCCACAATTTTCACACACTTTTTCTCCCTGTCTTTGCCGGGATTTGCTTTGTTTTGTTCTGATTCCTCTAGCGCGCGATCCATGTTTGTTATCGAAGTGTCTTTCGGCACTTATCGCCAACTAATTGTGTTTTGTACTATCGGACAAACTGTTCATGTGTATGTTTACTATAACAATAAATTAATGTTTAAAATCCGTACGAGGGGCGTAGAATTGATTGAATTGGTTGTGTGTTTGGCATCCTAATTTTGTAATTTATGTCAAACAACTTATGTTAATTTGAGTTAGTTGAGTTCCGTGGCTTGAGGAGGAGATTATTGGCTCACTTGTGTGTTTTAACATTCCTAGGCGGAGAAGTGGGAGACCAGCCTTGGGATTTTTCAGTTCTTTGGTCGATATTCGTAGGTATTAGCAAGTCCATTTGCCTGAAATATTTGGGCAACATTTCATCTCACCCGGTATTTTTTTTTGGCTATGTTTGACTATCAATTGCCGCAATAAATAACAGCCATGTGGTAGCATCTCCAGTATTAAATTTCGGTTCTGTTAATTGACAAACCAGTTATGTAACATCAAGTTGTATCCCCTTTTTCCTATATCCATCCAACAGATACGTGGAACAGTGTTTCGAAAGTTCCGGCAGTTGAATATTGGGTGTAGTGTTGAGCTCGATCACACAAAGAACGCACTTATTGGGCCCTACACGACTGCCACTAAGGCTCGATTTTTGCAGAAATTACCTCAACTAGTACATATGTTATCGGCAAAAACATCGACTAAATTAACAAAGAAATGTAACCTTGGTGTTGAAATTAGTACGTCATTTCTACCTTTGATCTTTGAGATATGGTTGCTTGCTAAATTTCAGCTTCAAATGCATTAAATACAGGATGTCCCATCAAAATCGAGGATATTCTTTGGCTCGAAAGAAGAGGATATCACTGAACTTCTTTTAAGAAAAAATGTGTGTCCTCAGCTGTTGCTCAACTGAACAAGTCAACTGCAGCCACTGCTTTAAAAAATCCTAACTGCCAATCCAGAGCAGGTAGCAACTTGAGACTTTCACACCCTGGAAAAGACACTTGGTGATCAAAGTGCCGAAAATTTCATTCAAATCGCCGCATTTCCTGATTTTTGCCGCCTTGGTAAAAGTTGAGCTCAAAATAAAAGTTTCCTCGGCAATGCACCATTTGATTTAAAAATTCCTAACTTCCAACCTAGAGCAGGCAGCGACTTGAAACTCTCACACCCTGAAAAAGACACTTGGAGCTGAATGTTCCGAAAATTTCATTCAAATCGCCCCATTTCCGGATTTTTGCCGAATTTTTCGACCAGATATTAGATATAGAAGAAAAGTTAGTTCAGATCGTCTTCCTATGAGCCAAAGAGTGTCACTAGCATTTTGCTGACGCCTTTGCTAGTCACCCAGTATATTCATCGCGAAGTAGCAATGCCTTTCTCCACACCAGTATGAAAATGAATAAAAACTTACCCATTAAGGATTACGGTGTTCGGGTTTCTTAACTCATGTAAACGTTCGTCATCAGTGCTGGGCGGATCCTCTACTACCAGAGGGGCTGGTAATTGCCTGAAAACACCAAAAACTCCATTCAGGTTTATCGGCTACAGGAATTTCGGGTCTCCACCCGCCCATCCCTTAAAGAACGTTCGGGAGGCATTTGGCAAAAGGCCAAATTCCAGATATTGGCAAAAGTGTGGGTATATCTTCTGCTTTATCATCCTTAATGAATAGATTACCGTGTTCCTTGCAATTCTCAGTAACGGACTGAAAGGGCTATAAATAGGCGGAACACATGAGGTGACTAGTCGAAATTGTAAACGTGATTAATGCGGTTGAATAGTTGAAAGATTCAGAATTGTGGCATTTTTAAATACCGCCGAAGAGCAAACTCTCTGATTTTCTTTGGATTTCTTCTCGTGGATATTGCTTCATCGCCTAGACGGTTATTTCTTGAAGAAACTTAGCCCCTTTTTGAATTATTTATTACTTAACTTCGTGAAGATCACTTGAACGTCGCGCAGTTTGAAAGAGTTCGAGTTTACAAGCGTAAAATCCCAATGGCAATTTTCCAGAATTTACATTTGGGCAAATTTCCCAAACTAAATAAGTTCCCTTTTCCAGAGAGTGACGTAAAAGTAAATCATTAGCCTGGCTTCAGCCAAACGGTTCTTGGCAAACGGCTAATTTCCTGGAAAATGCCTCATATTCCGTTTAACGAATAACGGATTAGTAAATTTCGTTGCGATGTTTTACTTAATGATTCCGTCAGATTTTTTTTTTCATTTTCTCATTACACTCTCATTAATGTCAACTCACCCAGCAAGCTCTTCAGATTCCGAACTGTTAAAGGATTCACTGCTGCTTTCAACCAGCAGCCGATTCTCCGTTTTTTTGGGGTTTTTCAAAATTCGTCCCATATAAAATCGGCTCTCAATGGAAACACACTGCACACCATGCGAATGCAAAGTCTATTTTAGTCGCATTTAAATTTCAATTCCGATTCACAGGCCGAGCAGGAAGTGAAACATTAAAATCCATATAGAATTTGATGGCGTTTTAATGAAAGGGCTTGTGGTGATTTTGCAGAATTTTGCGTACGCCATTAATTGCACATGTTGTGGCTTGATTGAACGACTTTCTGGACGCAAAGTGGGTTTTAACGGGAAGTCATAGTAATGCTGCTTAAATCCTCTTAAGGGAAATAACACGTTTCAACGAATCGAGGTATTAGAAGTGGTAGACACAACAAACATGCGTTATCAAACGAGTTAAGCTTTCGCCGGTATTGCTTGGAACTGGAGGGTTTTTTGGGTTTTGAAGACGTTGCGAAAAATTATTTCTTTAAAACATTTTCATACTGATTGAAAGATGAAACTGATCAATTGGGAAGTTTCGGAATTTTCTGCGTCCAAATCATTGTCAAGAAACAACAATCCATAAGGAACTGCTGAGTTTTTCGGTCCTTCAGAGATGGTTTGCTGGGCGCAGCAACAAATTTTTTGTTTCACGCAAAAACTGACCAGTTTTACGCCAGCATATTGTTTTATAAGTTGGATTTTGGCAATTTTATTATGCCTTTGTATCTAGGATGAAAAAAATATATTTCGTTAATGTTTCCAAAGTTTATTGTTTTCCAGAAAGCGACATTTCATTTTATTGAAGATCATTCGCCATTCCATGACGCAAATACATAAAACATACATAGTTTTCCCGCAAAATGTGAAAATTTAAAATTAACGCCGATCTTGAAAACCGCCCTTAGACTTTCGCTCATATTTTCAGAACCGGTTTAGTTGTCAAGCTACAGTTTTCATTTCCAGATAGAGCATTAAAATGCGCACGTTTTTATAGAAAACATCAATTTAGAAATGTTTCTACTCTTCACGTAAGATTCGAAAATTTAAAATTAACGCGGATCTTGAAAACCGCCCTTAGCCTTTCGCTCATATTTTCAGAACCGGATCAGTTGTCAAGCTCCAGTTCTCATTCCGCATAGAGCATTAAAATACGTTCGTTTTTATAGAAAACATCAATTTAGAAATGTTTCTAGTTTTCACGCAAGATTCGAAAAGTTAACATTAACGCGGATCTTGAAAACCGCCCTTAGCCTTTGGCTCATATTTAGAGAACCGGTTTAGTTGTCAAGCTCCAGTTCTCATTTCCAGATAGAGCATTAAAATACGCACGTTTTTATAGAAAACATCAATTTAGAAATGTTTATACTTTTCATACAAGATTCGAAAATTTAACATTAACGCCGATCTTGAAAACCGCCCTTAGCCTTTGGCTCATATTTAGAGAACCGGTTGAGCTGTCAAGCTCCCGTTGGCATTGCCAGATAGAGCATAAAAATAAAATTTTTAATATAAAATATACTGAAGTTATTGAATTATATTGAACGGAGTATCGGGTCTGTTCTTTCTTTCCAGATGGCCACATGCAGCTTCGTTCCTGGTTGCGGTATAGATGTAGAACCGATTGAGCTCTAAAGCTCCAGTTGCCATTGCCGGATAGACCGTAAATACAAGCACTTTTCTATATGAAACATCAATTTAGAAATGTTTTTGGTTTTCCCGTAAAATGCGGAAATGAAAAATTAACGCGAATTTTGAAAATCGGCTTTAGATTTTGGCTTAAATGTCCAGAACCGGTCGTAATCGCCGGATAGAGCATTAAAATACGAACTTTTTATATAAAGCATCAATAACCCACATGCACAGCTGATTCTTTGCCAGAAAAACAGCAACTCAAGCCTTTGGCCTGCGGCTGTTGCAAAATTAGCCAGTCAATTGAACAACGCCGCAGGACTGGGTCACTTACCTGCGTTTGTCCACCGCAGATTCTTTGACCGGAATGTAAAAACCAAAATTGAAGCCTCTTTTTTCGATTAACCGTCTCACTTGCCTGGCACTTTTCGTGTGTGCAAATTTACGGTGGAAGATCGCGACGGAAAAACTGGATATCGACTATCCTGCCGTATGTTTTCTGCTGCAACGCGAGCACGCAGGACAAAATCCGGAGCCGGAGTGCCACTGCGTGACAATGTCCCAGTATTTTGCAGGAGCGAAAGAGAACGTTGGTAAATTAGGTGACCCAATCTGTGAAGGCGAATTTTCAATTTAACTAAAAAAAGAAATACTTACAAAAATAGCGTCGTCGGTGGTTGAGTGCTTTCCTGTACTGCGGTCACAACCTGCTTCATAAACTTGCACTTTTCATTCGAAGCACTTTTTTCTGAAAGAAAAAGAGAACAGAGCTTGAGATTTATTTGCGTGCTGCACCAGATTGGATTGTCCATAAAATCAGCCAGAAAACATTTATACAGGGTGATTCAAACTTGGCGTCATTCCTCTTAATTGGGGCTCACTTGGAAGGCAGGCTTTGAAAATATTGAAGTTTTTTTTCGATAAATTCTAGAAGATATTAACAGTTGAAAATCGAATTTCAACTTTGTTTTTAAGCATTATTTTCAAAGTCTTCCATGTTTAATTGGAAGCATATTGGAATACTTAAGCATTCAAAAAGAAAAATTACGATGTTTGCTTCAAATTTTTTTCTTCAATTTTTGATATTCAAAAAGTTCTCTTCTACAATTTTTTGATGAAAAGTCAAAGCGGCAATAATGTTTTTTTGCATTAACAGACTCACATTAATCACTTTCTCTATTTATCCATGGTTACCGGAGCTTCAAATAATCAGGAAGCAACAGGTATTTACATAATGTTAATTAGGCAGATTACCTTGAAAAACATTGTTGCCGTGTTTCTAATATAGTTTTTTGCAAATTTCTCAGTTTTTAATCACAATTAATGTTTTTTACTATTTTTTCTGGTATTTCAAAACCTAGTTTTGCGAAGTTTCTGTACACCCTCACAGTGTTCTTTAACTTTAGTTAATTTTTTCCAGTTTTTGAACTTTTTCATTGAAAAAATTCGATTTAAAATTTCGCGTTGTTTAGTCATTACCAGCACCATACATGTTTGCCTTGAGCTATAAACCAGTCAACAGCTGGTTCATTATCAGTCGTGTTGTTATCAGTTATTTTGGAATTAAGTGTATTTTCATCTTAATATATCAAACTGGGATGTTTTTACTAGCGGAAGTTTTCACTTTTTGAATGTTTCTTCTATGTACTTGTAAACAGATTAAATTTGGCTACCTTTATTTGCGGCTTCACCCTCGCTCTTGGGCCTCATGCCTTTTACCAATCTGATGGAGCCTCGCACGCTTCTACTAATCACCCGCCTTAAACTCAGCGCCTTCGGCTTCCTCAGCTCCACTTCCTCCAGCTCGGAGTCGCTGCTTTCGGAAAGTCGGGTTTCCGTTTCTTTCTCGGCATTTTCACTCTCGCTTTGCACTAACTTGCTGTCCTCAACATGTGCGTCTTTTGCGTCTTCCTCTCGGTTACTGTCCGCCATTGGTTTTTCCTTTGCTGTTTCAGAGTCGTGTTTCAGCAAGTCACTGTAACGCCACTGGCCATTTCTGCAAGTATTTGCCATTAAATTTCCACGCTTTCTTCGTGGTTGGGCCTTACCTGAGCTCTTGTTCGCTGAGTCTGGAGTCACTCGAGTTCCTCTTCAAGTTTGAGGGAATTTGCCCTAAAAACTCCTCGCTTTTCGATAGGTGGTTCTGAGAGGAGTCGTCGGACTGGGTTCGGAGCGGCTGATTATTTGGCTCGTTTGAAGAACTGTTCTCGTGTGGTTCTTCACTTTTTGGAGCTTCAGAATCTCTCTCTTCCCAAGCAACTGGCTTTGCCCCATTGCTAACTTTGCCAATCGGTTGGTCCAAGCATGCACTTTTGGGGTCAGGATTTGGATCCGACATAACTGTGGGTCAATATCAGCTAAAACAATTCAAAGCTCAGCAAAATATATCGAGTCTTTTCGCAAAAACAAATTGGCGATTTGAACGTGTTCCCGACTGATTGGGATTCAGTAAACTGCTTTGAATTCTCTAATGAAGATTTAGCTGCATTTGAAGACTCCGCGCTTGCAAATTTAGAGATAAAGCGCTAAAAAGCTTACCTTATGGCTATTGTATTGGCACCAGTTACTTCATCACTAGTCACTAAAACGTAAAACATTAGCACATAAAACCGTGAAACTAATCCGGATCTTAGATGCGCACTGTTGGTTTATCAGTCGATGTGTAGCCGATAATCCAAGCTGCTCATTACTCATTATCAACGCCTTGATCATTATTATTTGCTCTTATCGGTAATTTCACTTTGTTGATGAGATACTAAATGCGCAAAACCACCGATGTCGGATTGTGGGATCCTGATGACCGTTGAATCAGGTGGAGGTCATCTAGCTGGTCTTTAGTGGGTTCACATTGTTTAATTCATCACCTTCTTGGAGCAGGAGTGGCACTTGTGGAATTTTAAGAGTGTCCTCTAGAACAGCGCTAAATTTAACATAAAAAACAAATATTCTAATTGGAGAATATTTTCGGGCAATTACAAGCAATTAATTGCCGAATGATTAATCGGTTCTAGGAAATTGACATTATTATTACGTAAAAAATTAGTGTTTAACGTTGGCTTGCAAAAAGCCCCCAAAAACCAGAAGCGGTTTAGAAAAATTCTTGGAAATTTCCTGATGATGTCTGAAAATTCAAACTTTTGCCACTTATAAAACAGACCATGTCCAAAAAAACCCATGCAAAGATCAACGTGTAACTTAACGGGTTTCTGAAGAAATAATTGCCAAACTCCGGCCTGCATAAGCAAGCGTCAAATACGCAGAAAATTTGAAAAATTCCCCAAAATATCCCGAAGATGATGCAAAATCGAAATGCTTTTCACGTATAGAGCCAGGCGTTGCCCTACAAAATGCTCACAAAAACGACTCTCTTTCTCATGTGGTTAGTTCTTTCTCATGTGGAATAAATAACTGCCAAGCTTCGATCAGTAAAAGCAACCACGTAAACCAATCGCAATTTTGAAAAATTGTCAAAAATTCCCAGATGATGACTCAAAATCGCAACTTTGCAATCGAAAAAAGCAAAATGCTTCCAAATTTGCCTTCCTCACCTAGGGAGTTGCAAAAAAAATTGTGTTAAACGTTGGCTTGCAAAAATCCCCCAAAAACCAGATGCGGTTTTGAAAAATTCTTGAAAATTTCCTGATAATGTCTGAAAATCGAAACTTTTGCCACTTATAAAACAGACCATGTCCAAAAAAACCCATACAAAGATCAACGTGTAACTTAACGGGTTTCTGAAGAAATAATTGCCAAACTCGGGCCTGCATAAGCAAGCGTCAAATACGCAGAAAATTTGAAAAATCCCTCAAAATATCCCGAAGATGATGCAAAATCGAAATGCTTTTCACGTATAGAGGAGCCAGGCGTTGCTCTACAAAATGCCCACAAAAACGACTCTCTTTCTCATGTGTTTAGTTCTTTCTCATGTGGAATAAATAACTGCCAAGCTTCGATCAGTAAAAGCAACCACGTAAACCAATCGCAATTTTGAAAAATTGCAAAAATTTCCTGATGATGACTCAAAATCGCAACTTTGCAATCGAAAAAAGCAAAATGCTTCCAAATTTGCCTTCCTCACTTAGGAAGTTGCAAAAAAATTGTGTTAAACCCTGGCTTGCAAAAATCCCCCAAAAACCAGATGCGGTTTTGAAAAATTCTTGAAAATTTCCTGATAATGTTTGAAAATCGAAACTTTTTTCATTTATGTATGATACCTTGCCTTACAACCTGTTGCCAAAGTGAACGTTCTCACTTCGCGAGTTACAAAAAGTACAAAAAGTAATAAATTGAAATTGAAAATTGCCTGACGATGACTGAAAGTCTAAACCTTTTTTCCTGATAGAACACACTTTGGCATACTAAATGCATAAACGAACTATGCAGTTTTCAGCTGGTTTTAGAGAGTGCGCCATCGATAAGGAAATGTTGGCAGTTTGCGACTTTTTTTGAGCGGAAAAATCGACTCAAACATGACGCTGCTTTTTTCGACGTTTCTCAAGAACCATTTGAGCCACAGAGTTCGTTTTGGCATCGTTGGATAGAGAATTAAAAACTCTATTCAGTCATAACAACGTGAGTGAAGAAATTCTAGTAGTTTTGACCCAGAAAGCGAAATTTCAATATCAGACATTTAGGTGCAAGATTATGCCAAAATTTCATGTTTTCCGTCC